CAGAGAAAGTCTTACATATATTCCCTGTAGTTACCATTTTGGGTATTCTTCAATTCTTAGTGTATCTCCAGATTTCCTTCTGGTACCATTTTCTTTCCATATGCAGGACTTCCTTTAACATTTCTTATAGTGATAGTCTGCTGGTGATTAATTCTTTCAGCTGCTACATGTCTGAAAATGCCTGTCTGCCTTCATTTTCAAATGACATTTTGGTTGGGTATAGAATTCAAGGTTGACAATTTTTATCCTTCAGTACAGCAGGTCTTCAAACGTCATTTCGTTCAATGTGGTTTCATTATAACATTAATGAGATACCATAGGAATTGAACGCTTAGTTATATCAACTAGCCTATGGCAAAATTGATTTCATTATGTCATTTTGGTGTAGTTTCAAGAATCTATTGATGATATTAAGTGAGGACTTACTCTATTTTAAAGACATTATTTCACTGTCTTTTCACTTGTATTGTTTCTAATTAGAAATATGCTGATATCTTTATCTTTGTTCCTCTGTATTTAAGGTGCCTCTTTTTCTGGCTACTTTTAGGATTTTTGACAATTTAATTATGATGTGTGTTGGTGTAATTTTCTTCATGTTTCTTGGGCTTAGGGTTTCTAGAATTTCTTGAATCTGTGGTAGAATTGGGAGAATAATAACCCCCCACCAATGTCTTCATTTTATTTTATTTTTATTTATTTATTTTTAAATATATCTTTATTGATTTCAGAGAGAGGAAAGGAGAGAGAGAGGAAGAGAGAGAGAGAGAGAGAGAGAGAGAGAAACATCAGTGAATCAATGATGAGAGAGTCATTGATGGGCTGTCTCCCGCAAGCCCCCAACTGGGGATTGAGCCCGCAACCTGGGCATGTGCCCTGACTGGGAATCGAGCCCCGATTGCCTGGATCCTAGGTCAACACTCAACCACTGAGCCACGCCCAGCCAAGCCAATGTCTTCATTTTAATTCCTGAAACCTACTGTATTAACTTGCTGGAGCTGCCACAGATACAGTGACTTGAACGACAGAAATTTATTCTATCACAGTTCTGGAGGCTGGAAGTCCAAAATCAAGGTGCTAGGCAGGGGCATAATCCCTCTGAAGCCTCTAGGAAAGGCTCCTTTCTTGCCTTTCCCAGCTTCTGGTTGCCCTAGTTGTTCTCTTTCTTGTGGCAACATAATTTCACTCTCTACCTCTGTCTTCAGATAGCCATCTTTCCTCTGTGACTGTGTCTTCACATGTGTTCCCCTTTCTTTATGTCTGTCTTCTCTCTTATAAGGATATAAATCATATTGGATTAAGGATCCACCCTACTCCAGGATAACCTCATTTTAATTTACATCTTAGCTACATCTGCAAAAACCCTATTTCCAAATAAGGTCACATTCACAGGTATCATGGGTTAGGATTTCAATATATCTTCTGGGAGAACACAATTTATCCCACAGTATTTGTGAATATGTTAACTGAAATTACAAAATGGACTTTGCACATATGATTAAATTAAGGATCTTGCGATGGGAATATTATCCTAGATTATCCAAGTGGGCTCAATATAATCACAAGGATCCCTTTAAGAGAAAGACAGAAAGGCCACAGTCAGAGGAGATGTGACAATAAAAGAAGTTAGAGTGATGCAAGCACAAGCCAATCATTGCAAGCAGCCTCTAGAAGCTGGAAGAAGCAAGGAACAGATTTTCCTCTAGAGCCTCCAGAAGGAATACAGCTCTGCTGACACCTTTATTTAATCCCTAAGATCCATTTCAGACTTCTGACCTCTAGAACTATAAAATAATAAACTTATGTCATTTTAAGCTACTAAGTATGTGGTAATTTGTTTAGCAACAATAGGAAAGTAATATATGTGGGTTTATAGGCATCCCCAAGTTGTTTCTTCAGATATTTTTTATCATTCCCTCATCTCAATTACATAGGTATATATTAGGCCTCTTGAAGTTTCCCCATAGCTTACTGATGCTCTGGTGTGTACCTTTTTGTTCTTCTTTGTTTGCTTTTCTCTGTGTTTCATTTTTTATATTTTATATTACTATGTCTTCAAAGTCACTAATCTTTTCTTCTGCAATGTCTAATCTGCTATTAGTCCTATCCAATGTATTTGTCACCTCAGACATTGTAGCTTCTATATCTAGAAGCTCAGTTTGAGCTTTTTTCAAAAATAGTCATCCATGTCTCTACTTTTTTAATACTGTATGTGGAATATAGTTATAATAATTGTTTTAATGTCCTTGTCTGCTAATTCCAACATCTGTGTCAATTCTAGGACAATTTTGTTTGATTTTTCTACTCATTATGGGCTGTATTTTCCTGCTTTATTGCATACTTGGTAATGCTTTATTAGATTCAAGTTGCTGTGAATTTTACTTTGTTCAGTGTTAGATGTTTTTATATTCCTATAAATATTTTTGAGCTTTATTTGGTGATACAATTATGTTACAAGGAAATAGTTTGGTCCTTTTTGTTCTTGTTTTCAAGACTTGTTAGGCAGGGCCAAAGCAGTATTTAGCCTAGGGCTAATTATTTCCCACCACTGAGACAAGATTTTTCTGAGTACTCTACCCAATACTCCATGAATTATAAGGCTCTCCAGTCTGGCTGGTGGAAACAGGCATTATTCCCTGAACCAGTGTGAGCACCAGAGATTATTCCTTATAACACTTTTGGATAACTCCTTCTCTGGTCTCAGGTAGTTTCCTCATACACATGGGCTAATATCCACTGTCTTGAAAACTGGAATTTCATATATTATATCTTTGTTTTGGGTACAAAGGTAAATCCTATCTCTTTTGATTCATCTTGACAGGAGCAAAACTAAACTTCTTTTTTAGTGGGTGAAGTCTTTTTTCAAATAACACCACTATTTAACACAGATAAAAAGCAAAGCTCCTATGATTAAAAATGAGGCAAAAGATTGATAGCCTGAGGAAACCTACCCCTGTAGCTTCTTTAATGCTCTCAGAAGCTCCTAAGTACTCTCCCTGATTCTCAGAAATTCACAAGGCACAGTTTGAAAACCACTAGATCTAGTCAGATCCCTCCTTTATAAACTTCATTCAACTGAGACCCAAAATGGTTAAATCACTTGCCCAATCTCACACAGCTAAAACCTAGGACATGAGATGAAAGGGGCTAATGACTACACACAAGTAAAGGCCTCAAGAATGGTAGCAATTATTACTAGGTCTGCCTTTGAATTTCTAAACTTCCAAAAGTCTGTGATAGTAACAGGAAAAAAGGGAAAGACTATGAGTTTACAGAAAGGATCTAGTGCTAGATGCCCCAGTATGCCTTCCTTTGTAAATCAAATTCATTTCCTGAAGCCCCATCTCTTGGGGAAGATTCCCATGGCTCTAACTCAGCTCACATATCTCTGACAAAGGCAAAACACCTGAAGACTAGAACCCAGATCTCTTAATCACAGACAAGCATTCTGTCCACTGTATCCCTGCATTGGTAAAATTCTAAATCCAGTGAAACCCTCAATCTTTGCTGTTCACCAAATATTTAAAAAGAGATTTATCAGAACAATGTGATATGGTTGCTGGCAAATTTTCCTGTGAGCACAGAATGAAGTCTTAATCCCTTATTAAAACATCACAGATTCCATTTTGTCTTGGACTTCATGCAGTAGAGTGTGTGGTGTGATAGTGTTTAGGAAGCAAGCTACAAGGAAGAAAATTGATCAAACAGGAATGAAGACTCTAGGCCCCCAATGAAAACAACAAAACAGGAAGGACATGGGTGCCAAAAGCAGCTAACTCAAGCATTGACATACTGGATGAGTCTGGATATGCCACTCAATGAATCTCAAATTCCTTGTCTTTAAACAGTATTCATAGAACCTGTCCTAGCTTGCTTCCCAGAGAATCTGGGAGCTATAAGTGGATTTAAAAACAATTTGTAAATCACTTGGAGCTCCTTGGAGATAGGATGACATATAAACATATGGTATTACTATTATGTTAACCATATTTAAATATAGCTAGCCATACTTAACTTTGCTAATCATACTTAAATATTTACAATATTACCCTTGAGAGGGATCATCTGCAAAATTCTTAGTGTCTTCTCCAGTTAATTTTCCAAGTGGTAAAGAAATTAATAGCCCAGAACGTGAGATGCATTTAGAACTCTTCTCATATCAGCGAGAACTGAAAGAATTTCAACGCAATATGGCCATTTCCACACCACAAGGTCACCACATGTCCTCAGAGGCAACACCAATAAGGAGAGTTAAGCACCTTTCTTGACTATTTAGTCTTGTCACTTTGCCCAATACTAAATGAAAAAAGTTACCAAGCAGCTTGATTCATTTTTATGATCTAATTGTGTGTGTGTGTGTGTGTGTGTGTGTGTGTGTGTGTACACACACACTTTGAATAATTATTAATTCTAATGGCTTAAATCTGAAAAAAAAGAAATGCCAATTGAGCTATAAGGGGTGTATACATTTTTGGGGGACACCCCATACATAAAATTTGTTTGCAAATCCACCTCTCAAAAGATGGTTTATTTCACCTAAAGCAGTGCCAGCCGTTTAGGATGGCCAGGTATCAGTGGGACAGGGGATTAATTCATAACTTGAACTGCAGGGCTACTGCTTATGGCCATACAGGTATAAATAAGCCCTTGAGAACTGTGCTGTGTGCAACCTTCCCCATCATGAGCGTCTTCCCTCATTCTACCTTAGTACTAGAAGAAAGCAGCCAGTCTGGAATGAGAATATGGGAATTGAGGAAATAAGGGAATATGCGGAAGCCAGGCAGCAGAATTCCTCCAGAAGATATGCAAACACAGATGGATTTGTTATGTATTCTATACTCATGGATCTATATACAAAATATATTACATTTACCCGCATAAACATATTACATTTACCTGCATACACAATATATTACATTTACCGATAAAAATATTTAACACATATACCTTATATGCACACATTTGTTGAGCCCTTAGTTCTAGACATATGTAAATATTTCAAATAGATGAATGAAAATATACTTACTGTCGCAGCTGTAGACTCCGGCAATTAAGCTCGAGTGAACTGCTGCTAATTTTCATCAGGATGAACACAGACAGTTGTTCCTTTTCATCCAGCCACAAAGAGTCCACCAGGTTCAGAGGCTCCAGAAGAACCCCACAACCTAGGGTCACAAACATAACCGTTATGTGTGACCTCAACAGCACAAATTCACTGAATTACCAGTTACCTGTTACCAGAAACTGTTTAATTCTAAAAATCCTGTTTCTGAAATTAAAGCAAAGACTATTGTTTTGCTTTTTCCCCCATTGTCACAGGCAAGCTCCACTTTCTAAGAGTGACGGTCATCGTGGAAATGAGGAAGGAGTATTTGTGTAAGAATCAAAAGACCTGCTTGCCAGGCCCGCCTCTAAAACTCACCAGCTGAGGGCACTTGTTCCAGTCCCTTCTCTTCAGACCTTAACTGCATAATGTGTAAACCACACATTGGATTTAACAGTCCACAATGTCCCTTCAAGCTATGCACAAATTTACTTAGTTGTTTTAGTGTTTGCTTTTTTAAAATATATCTTTATTGATTTCAAAGAGAGGAAGGGAGGAGAGAGAGAGAGAGAGACATCAATGATGAGAGAGTCATTGATCGGCTGCCTCCTGCACACACCCAACTGGAGATCGAGCCCAAAACCTGGGCATGTGCCCTGACCGGGAATTGAACTGGGATCTCCTGGATCCTAGGTCAATGCTCAACCACTAAGCCATATTGGCCAGGCAAACACTATTTAGTTTTTGAATTTACTTACACCTTGGCTGTCAAATCAATAAGTTTAATAAAAGAGAAACTTTGGACTAATGAGGCAAAGGAAAATGAAGATATGCTAACAATAAAGGTTAACACAATTCCCTGTTAAATTTTAATCTGGCTCAGAGCAGTGAGGAAAAAATTACAAATATAACTTTCACAACTTGATTTTTAGAAAGAGAGAAACTTTCCTTTTTCTTGAAGTATAACCTGTGGTTATAATCCCAGCCCTAGCTGAGAAGATAAATTGTGATCTTCCCCAAGCCACAGAGCCCTCCGTCTAGTCTCCTAGGGAAAGACTAACCATTCAGACTGGCACCATTTCCCACAGACAATCACCACAAGGTCACTGGGTACCACACAGCTGAGGAAATCAGAACCCAGAGACATTAAATAATATTTCCGAGGCCACCCAGCTAGCCACCAACAGCAGAGGTTCAGCACTCCAGAGATCCTGACCTGAGGTCAGCGCCTGGTTTCAGGTAACAGGCCCCCAGCGGAGGGGCAGCCGGGGCGGAGCAGCAGGACGCCGAGAAGCCGGCAGGCGGGGACACACCAGGGTCTCCGGGGCACGGCGCGTCCTCTCCCATTCAGGCAGCTCCGTTTCCACCGGATGAACTCACCCCGAAGCTTCCCTCCTCTTCTGCCCTGACACCACGAGGTGGAAGCGCCAGCACCTGTGCAAGGTGCCGCAGGTGTGGAAGGGGACTCCGATTGGGACGGGAAAGGTTAGGGGCTGGGGAACACCTGTTCCAGTGGCACCGCCCGGGTGGTCAGCTCCTCTCTTAAGTCATCCTGTAGCCCTAGGAGGTGCCCCCAGGGCCTTAAGGCGCCAAAAACAGTGCCTCCAAAGAGCACCTATTAAGAAGACATTTGGCCCGGCCAGCGTGGCTCAGTGGTTGAGCATCGACCTAGGATCCAGGAGATCGGGATTCGATTCCGGTCAGGGCACATGCCCAGGTTGCAGGAGGCAGCTGATCAATGACTCGCATCATTGATGATTCTATCTCTCTCTCTCCCTCTCTTTTCCTCTCTCTAAAATCAATAAAGATATATTTTTTTAAAAAGAAGACATCTGGACAGAACTTGTAGGAACAACTCCCTCGTTCCCTGGTCTCAGAGAAGAGTCCGGAGGCTCCACTCACAGCAGATCGCGGGCCCTCCCTCTGATCTCCGTGGGGAAAGTCTGAGGAAGAGCCAGGGAGCACAGCTCTCAGAGAAAACCTCCTTGCTGTTCAGGTGCACGGCCCTGAAGAGTGATTTTTTTTTAAGCTCAAAATAACTTGCCTATCAGCGCTTCCCATGCCCCACCCAAGTCTTTCCCCCCATTAGCCTGCAGGGCAGCACTTCCTACAAGCCTCCCAAAATGATCGTTTTACTTCCACTGTGTCTGCACAGGGTCCCTTAGGAAGTACGTGTGGCTGCTAGTATAGCAAAATAATTATGTCACAGCTTGTTAGCAGAAACTCTGGGACTGGGCCTTGGCTATCTATCTCAATGCCTAATTAGACCTTTTCCCCTTCGTTTGTCTTTTTTCAATAAACGTTTCTTGTATGTGTACAAGGCAAAAGGAAGCACAGACAACCATGCTCTCACTGGGAAAACCTGTGTCAGAAGTAACACACGTTCCTCTGCTCACGTCATTAGGCAAAACAAGCCCTAGGCAAGGATGGGTTATCGTCCTGCGGGAAAAACATCAATTCTCTGTGCGCAGAAGACAGTTCTCCACAAGCTCTCAGGGTCCAGGACAAGCCTTTTGTTTCACCCAGATCAGTTAAGGAGCAAGGGCTCCAGAAGATAAATGATCCAATAAAAGGGAGGCCAACCCAGCTCCTCACCCCTCAAGTAAAACGAGAGACCCTCCAAAGACATGGACACCCATGAGGAGCACAGGATAGAAGAGCTCTCTGAAAGCTCCTTGGGGAGAACATGCTTTGTCCATGCCTAAGAACTCAAGGACGTATACACACATATTCAGCCAGATGGGTGTAAGGTTGTGAGGATGACCCACATCATTATGATGGTGTGTGCTCTTGCCCCCCCCCCCCCC